TTATGACATGGTAAATTATAAAAAACATTTTCTTTTCGTTATTATATAGTAGTAACTAAATTTAACTATGATCTTAAAATTGAACATCTATTTTGTTTTATTTCTTATTGGTTTTCAAAAAATATCGATTGTTTTCAATATTTAATTTTCTATTTTTTTTTAAATCTACTGTGTTCGATAATACATTATCTCATCTTGTAATTTGGTGACACTTGTTTTTATAATTTTCAGAGCGCCATGAAAAGTTAAAAAATTTATTTGTTGTGGCCAAATAATTCGATATTTTATTTTTGATATTCGTAACCTTTTAAAATGGCGACTATCATGTTACGTGTTAACTTAACTTAATTTTGTTACACACTTAATTTTTTTTCTAATTATTATTTTGGTACTGCGTGATGCGATTCAAGTTGCTGTAAGTATTTTTTTCTTTGTCATGTTTTAGTTCCTAACCAGGTTCATAAGTTTTGTACGACTGTTATACAAACTTGTGTGAATTTTTTTGTAGGTATTTTAATTAATGAAGTCACTCTGATTACTAACCTTTAATAATTTCTTACATTTTTAGAGCTATACATTTTTTTTTTGTGTCTCAGCACATTTGTTTAAGTTTTGCACATTAACGTTCTTTTAAATATAGTTATTTTTAATGTTAAATATTAGTTATTCTCTGTAAACGTGAACCAATATATATCATTATTATATTCTTGATATTGCTACTTCGTGTCAAAATGACACTGCTGACTTCTCGGGACACGTTGTTGTGATTTAATTTTCTATTATTTTCATTATTGCTATTTTTTGTAATTGTATTCTGACAAAAGTTTTTTTTTTTGTATTTTCGGTGTTACCAATTTTATTTCGAACACGTTATTATTGTTAATATTAAATTTTTCTGTGCTTGCTAAGTGAATTTTTTTTTTAATTTAATTATTATTTTTTTCACAAATTTGTTCATAAAATTTGTGATTTTGGTATCATATATGTTAAAAAATGTCGTTACAAAGAACATGTTGAATAGCCTTCATGTTTTTTTTTCAAAAGCCTTCGATAAACTGAATCTTAATATCCTGTCTGAACTTCTACTCCACGCTGGTTTTGGTGAACTACTCCTCTCTTGGTTAATTTCATATTTAACTGAAAGAAACCAGTGGGTACATGTTCAAAGTTGTGCTTCTGAAGTGATAACCCCCTCCTCCGGTGTTCCACAAGGTTCAATCCTATTTCCCCTACTTTTTTCATTTTTGTAAATGGCGCTAATTCTGTTTTACAACATACTAAAATACTCCTTTTTGCAGATGACTTCAAATTATTTATGCGTGTTACTAATAGTTCCGATGTTATTTTACTTCAAAGTGATCTAGATCACTTAGTTAGTTGGGCTAAATCAATTGGCTTGACTTTTAATACCTCTAAATGTTATAAAATGACTTTTTCACGTATTTCTAATCCTATATCTTCAACATACTATATTCATAACCATCTTATTTCTTCTGTTCCTTCTATAGTTGACCTTGGGTTTCGTCTCACTCTTACTTTAAATTTTTGACTTCATATTGAAGAAGTATGTTATAAGGCTCTGAAAACTTTAGGTTTTATTCAGAGAATTTCTCATGAATTTCACCTCTCAAGACCACTAAAAAATGTCTTTTGTTCGCTGGTTCGCCCTATCTTTGAGTATTGTTCGGTGTTATGGGATCCTTATACAGCTACTTACTCTATGATGCTTGAAAGAGTGCAGCGTAAATTTTTACGCTTTGCGGCTCATATCCTTAATATCCCCCATCCACCTCATGACTTAACTCCTATTCAAAATTTCTTACAACTTCCTTCCTTATCTGCTAGAAGACATGACTCTAATATCCGTTTCCTTTCTAAACTCTCAGCTGGCTTGATTGATTCTCCTGTCCTACTTTCTAAATTGAACTTTCGGGTACCTGCTCATTCAACTCGCTATACTGCCCCTTTCCTCATTCCTCATTCATCTTCTAATTATATTTTTCATTCCGCTCTCCCACGTTTAATGCGCATTGCAAATAATAACCCTGATTTTTTCATTCTTTTCATTTTTAATGTAGTCATTTAGCCTTTCTATTTAATATTTAAATTTTTCTTTTTCTCTTTGTCAAGCTTAAGTTTATTAATGTTTCATTTTTCGTTATTAGATAATTTTAAGTTGTCCAGTTAACTGTTTAATATGTATTGTATATTTTGGGCTATTGCCTGTATAATTTATAATAAATAAATAAATTCTGTCAGTAATAACACAAATTTTGCCTCGTATGTATTTATATAAATACTCACTAACATTTTCTAGAACAAAAAATCATTTTGTGTGTAATTAAAAGGAATACATTTTATATATATTTCAATATAAGTTAAAAACCTTTATTAAAAAACTAAAAACTAGGTAATTACGAAGAAATCAATATTAAGTGAAATTGTTATTCTTACTATTTTCTGCCAACATTCATATACTATATCGTCCAATGAAAACCTATTGGAGAATGCAAAACTAGAGCAATTAAAAATGGCAATACAAATCAGGGCGTATAAATATTATTATTTATTAACATGTGACTTACGTAGAAGCATTAATGGAGTATTCAGATATAAACGAGAGCCCCAGAAATGAGAAATACCTTGACATGTATCAAAACTTTTAAACTTTTAAATGTAAAATAGATGATTCTCTAATAAAAAACAATTAGAATTTTTTACGAATAGTCAATTGAAAGCAAATATTTTTGGATTAGATAATCATTTTAATAATTTGGAGCTTAAAATTAAAAATTATTTTGTTTACAATAAATTTGAGTTTGTATATGATAATAAAGAAGAAACTAAAATAATTGTGAAAAATAACAATTTAGAAAATATATTATATAATGAGTTTTTAGAAAAAAAAGAACTAGAAGATAGAATAGAAAATCATTCATTTTTCAATAGCGTAAAAAGTATTGAACTTCAAAAATTGTTTATTACTACTCCAATAATGACACCAGAGGACTTTCATACTGCTGCGAATATTATCGCAAAAGACATAACTGAAGAATTCGAGTGTGTAAATGAACAGCCATAAATACAATAATTTGAAATCATTTAACTACTAAGAATTTTTATCTTTATAAATAAGTTGGTCCCTTTCAAGAAATCGACATCTTTTCACATGAATACTTTTTGTACAAGTCAATTAAGTGAAATATCTTAAATTTGTCTATATTTCTAAAATGAATAATCTATGGTAACTTTATTAAATAAGCACAATAAAGAATATAATTTGTTGTTATTTTATTAAATTTTATTTTACATCTTTTTCGACTTCATCTTACATTTATATCTAATACGTAATTTATTGACTATAAATAATGAATAACTAAAAAAAAAAAAAAATTTTAGGGGATAATTGTACTGAATATCGGAATAACGTTTAACTCCTAAGAACTGAATAATATGAGTAATGTAGTATGTATAGTATATAGTTTCAATTTATTCGCTTTCAGTAATATCATTTTAAGTTTATCAATATTACAGTATTTTATACTGTAATATATTACAGTATTTTGGATACATTTTAGTTGTAGTGAATCTATAAATTTATTTATAATAGATGTTGTCCTCCAAACAAAACAATTAGTTTGAGTAACTTTAGCAACTTGTAATTGACGTAATCATTGTTTTTAATACGAAATAAATAGTAGTGACCTAATAAATATGTTGAATAAACACATTTTATTTTTTGAGAATATACATGAGTATATTATATAAGCAATTAATCATAAAAAAAAAAAATTGTATCTGTGCAATTATTATTTCGAGTTATTATTTAAAATACCTATTTACTGCTTGCAAGAAAATTTTAAACATGGAAAAAAAATTTTTAACGAGAATAAATATTGTTTTACTTTTAAAACATGGGGTGTTTATTTTTTAAATCCTCTGATTATTTTAAATATATTTTTAATATTGTTATGAACATGACGTTACGAAAAACAAAAACCTCTTATTCAAACTATGTACCACAAAGAATCGTCCGAACGCCTTCAACAGAAGTAGTCACGCCGGCCGGTTCAGGAGAACCTAAGACGCTGGTTTAAGCCAGCGATTTAGGGACTCTTATACGTGTTTTCTATGTTTCTGCCAGTTATTAAGCTCTAACTTTCGCAAATTCCACGTAGTACAATGGACCCGACTCTTTATTTTTGGAAATATAAAAGTCACATAAAGCCATGTCTGGTGAATATGGAGGCGGGGAATCATTATAGTATTGTTTTTGGCCAAAAATTCACGAACAAGCAATGAAGGGTAATCAAGTGCATTATCGTGGTGCAAAAGCCATGAATTTTTTTGCCACAATCCAGGTATTTTTTTGGATTGCTTCACACAAACGGCGTTAAACTTGTAGGTAGTATTCCTTATTGACCGTTTCACCAGGACGTGGCAAGAATTCATGATACACCATGGCATTAAAATCGATTATAAATTATTTATATATGCTTTATATCAAAAAGCCAGTGTAACACCTAAGAATAGGTTTAATAAATAGATTTTTATTTAATATTAAGAGTAATTTTTTTTCAACTCATTTATTGAACATTTTCCGAAAAATATGACAACTTTTAATGTGTATTAAACTAAAGTTTTTGTAGCAAATTATAATATAAAAATCAAATTATCCGTTAAATTGTTTTACTATGAAAAATCAGCCGTCAAAGTACTAAGATTTTTAATTTTTACAAAAAAAAAATTACTTTATTTTTAATTTCTCAAAATGTTTAGAGGTGTCTGACAATTTAAAAACTTTATGAAATAAAAAATTAATAAACGTACTTTATAATTAAAAAAAAAGTAATTTTTCCGACGATTTGCTTTATAAAGTAATGTCATATATATAAAATTGAGTGCGTTAGGCTAAATAATATTGTAATAGAAAATTATAAATTTGTTCCAAGCATTAATAGGGTATATTTTTAGTACTACACTAAAGTACTCACAGTACATATATGTATACCATTTATTTATGAGTATAAGATGTAACAAACTAGGTCAAAAACAAAATCCAATCAAATAAGCATCACTCATTTGAATTATATAAATAAGTTACAAAGAGTAACAATAATAATTCGACGTTTAAGAACCAATAAAGATCAATTATTTGTACTATTTTGATCATTGCTATTCGTTTTTTTCTTAATATCGTTCATTTCTTTTTCAATGTCATCTGAATCATACTTGTTATTCCATTTTTGAACTTCTGAATTTGCAAAAAGAATGTATAATAATCCAGTTGAACAACAAATTGCTGATGATATATAAAAAACTTTACTCCACTGGCCTAAAGTTTGCTGGAAAAAAAAATATATGTTATAGCTTAAACATTAAGGAATCCATTTTTTCGTTAATTATTTACCTGATGATAAGTGAATAATCCAATTATTATGGGCGATACAAAGCCGGCGAATACACCAAAGGTACTGGTCAAACCTAAGATTATACCTAAAAAGAATAGTTGTCATGTGCAATTTTAGGAAGTTTGAAAATAGCTTCTGAAAAGTATTAATTTAAATAATAATAATAAAAATATATTGAAATATTAATTAAATTGATTATACATACAGAGTAATTCTTTTGAATTTAGGTACAAATCGTATTGACGTATATTTGTAACGCATATAAAACCTGAGTTACATACCAACTGTATGTATTAAAATGTATGTAATTCATATTTATTCATTTTGAAAAATGTTATTAACGCATTAATTATTTTTGTATGAAGAGTGTTTATGAAAATGGTTATTTTTAATTTTTTAAATATTTTAAAATTTTAAAAATTATTTTTATTTTTTATTATTAAAAACAAATAATAAAAAAATATGATTTTAATGTAATTTAAGAACGCATAAATTATTTTTAAAAAAATTATAACGAAATTTTGATTGTATCAAAAGTTGTAGGTGTTTCTGTTTCATTCTGTATATTTATCCCTATACTATTGTATATTTAGTAATTTAAAAAAAAATCAAATCTATAATTGAATCAGTCATTTCAAAAAAGGATATAAGTGACCGATTTTTTAATAATGACTTTTTGTCAAATTAGATAATTATACACCTAGTTACGCATTCTGTGTAAAAACTTAATTTGTCAGACTCATATTTAGTACAAACATTTACTACAAGAAACTAGAACCACAAGACATTGACTTGTGTAGTTTTTGCAGTTACTCAAATATCTCACTGTTAGCAATGATTATTTTATATCATATGTTTTTTTTATCAACACCATCATAATAAAATAATAATATCATAAGTTTTAAATTTGATTGAATAAAAATATCTCATCAAACGAGTCAGAAAGTGATCATGAACCCAAAAAAATAGGTCATGCAATATTTCAAATTACAACCGAAATGTTATCAGACAGCTTAAAGTCAAAAGCATTGAACATACTAACTGGAGTGGAAAAATAGTACATAGTAGAAAAACATTCCAAAATTACACGTAAGTTATTTTATAAATGTATCGATATCAGAGCTCCTACAATTGTTCTATACTTAATTCTTAAAATAATGCAGGTTTAAGAATGTCTATTTCGCTTAATTTTAAAATGAAGATTATCAATTCTGCTTTGGTGCACTCAATAAACTTTTGATCAAAATTATTTAAAGTTATGTTGCTTTTTGCCAAGTTAAGATTTGTTTTTTTTTTAATATTATTATTTTATATTAAAAAATTATTTCAGTTTATATCATAATATTATAAATTTTCTGTGTTCATCTATTAAATTTTATTTCTTGATTTAGATTTTTTATTATAAATTTCTATTTTCTGCAAAAACAATACAAGTCAAATATGTTTTATATTAATTTAATGCATTTTGATAAAAGTTAAAGTATTTTAAACTATGGATTATGAATATCATATACCTTAAAAATAAATTAGTAAATAGGTGTAAGTGTAAAAAAATTAAGTTTCTGGAGTAATTCATTTTTTTTGGTTCCGGTAAAATAAAAATTTTAAACGACTTATGTCGTTTTTGAAAAGCTGATTCAATTATTACCAATTATTAGGTATAATTCTACAAAAACAATACATTAACAATATTTTAGTCAACGACCTTATGCAATACATTGACTGGAACAAAAATTACAGATTTTATAAAAAAATATTTAAAAATTATTAATTGTAACATTAAATTTCGTGTTATACATATTTAATAGTGTAGGTAAGGGACCATAGAGAGAGAATTTCTCTCTAATTGATCGTAATCTCTAAATGAAATGACGAACAAAAGAAAATAGACCTCAAAATTGTCTCGTAAAAGAAATTTATAACTGTAGACCCTTATTATGAAATTATGACTATACCTATACTGCACAGGCCTGTATTTTTCATGATATTTCTGGAATGTAAATTCTCTATACGTTCCAAAAATATCAGAACTATATAAAATGTTGGTATTTTTTATCAAGAATTAAAAAGCTTCAACGCAAAAAGTCTTGTTTAATTTTTAAGATAATTGAATTATAATAAATGTACTATTATGTAAAAGTTTGTTTTTTATTAAAGAAAAACATAATTGAATTATTTGGAATTCTAAAATTTACAAAACTAACCAGCATAATTCGGGGCTAGATCTACACTGCCTGCTAGCACACCAGAAGCTGAACAGCCATTTACAATTGCTGTTAAGGTTACCATTGTGATAGAAGCTATTGCATTACATCCACAAAAACTAATTCCTAAAATAAGCAATCCTTGAAGAATATTACCTGAAATATTTTATAATTTCACTAATTTTTAAAGCGATTAAAGAACAAAATTTCTTCTTACAAAAGAATGTAGATAATTTGCGTACATTTGTCACAGACATAGTTTTGGATTTTATTAAATGATCACAAAAAGTACTAAAACCAAATGCAAATATCCATCGATTTATGTAAGGTAAACCTGCCCAAAATCCAGTCTAAAAATAGTTATTTCTTTTAAAAATTAGTTTTATAAAAAGTACTATTTGCAAGTACTGATTAAATGCTCATTTTCCCCATTTATCAATTACTCAAAGAAATGTAATAATTTTAATTACAAAAACGTTCAACTATTAAAATTATTGCAAAATAATTTGCAAAACAGAACTAACCGTTAAAAATGATTTTCATAAAATATTAGTTGATGATTTATTAAAATATAAATTGTAATCTATACTTTTTTATGAAAAATTTAAAATTATTTAACGAATAAATGGGACATTGGTATACTTCATAAATCACACTGTATAAGAGAGTAAATATAATTTTATCTGTAACACTTTATTATTTGTTAGTTTAATTAAAAAAGAGATAAGAAGTAGTGAATTTTTTTCTAATGATGAAATACAGAATCTGAGATGGTGGTATTCTATGGGTATTGGTCCCCACAAAAAATGAAAATGACATATTAGTTTATATAGAAATATATTTAAAGGGAGAAAAATTAATTTCTTTAAATATTTTATTCAATTTACACCTATTTTAAATATTATCTCTTACAAAACTATTCAAAAAGCAAACAAATAACTCTACATAAATACCTGTTTTACACTTAAACCTAAAACAAAATTGAAATACGTTGGAGCTTGTGTTGATATTGTAAAAAGTCCCCACATTCCTCCATTACTTGTTAGTACGTTCAATATAAGAGGTTTTGATGAAAGTAATGATTTCCAAGGTATTGGTAGCTACATTTAAAATACATATAATTAAAATACTGTAAGTAGTTTAGATATAAATAAAAAATATACTCTTTGAACGTTATATATAATATAAATAATTTAATTTTTATAAATTTAACGTTAATAATTTTCAATTTTATTTTGAAAGTATGCAACAATAATTTAAAAGAAAACAGTTAAAAGGTAAACTGGTGAGAAATTTGGGTCAGGAAATTAATGTTTTAACAACTTTCATTTACTACTAGAGTCCACGACTTTTATTATTCGATTGCTTTGTCTTTAATTACAAAGTTTTAGCATTTGTAACATTGTTAATAGGGGACAAAATAAAATTTGCCCTTATAAAAATGTCCAATTATAATTATGGAATAAAAATGTGTTACATATATATTTAATTATATGTGTTTTCTTAAATAATAAATAATAATTTCCATTTTAATTATTATCTCCTATGTTATTTTCAAATATCTTATTTTCCCTCCTAGATATAATATTGTGTTTATATCAGAATTATGAATTTTATAAGTTAATAAAATAGATTTCAAATAGAAATTTTACTGAATTCGAGGAAATTTTAATCATTTTAAAAAACTTAAATGAGTTTTCAATTTTGAACACGTATATACAGGGGGTGGACAAAATAATATGAACACCATGCAATATAGTTACATATTGTTGCAAGTTGGCTACACTGTATAATTTTTGGATAACATGGCGTAAAATTAGTATATTATTACAATATAGTAGTTATTTATAACATATTAGTGTATAACACAGGTTATACTACGAACGTTAAAATAAATTTAAAATAAAATGCGTGACCTCTCGGACTTCCAAAGAGGGCAAATAGTGGGTGCTCGATTAGCGGGAGCGTCTGTAACGGAGACATCTAAACTGTTGAACGTGTCAAGAGGGACAGTATCCACAGTAATGACAGCATACACGAAATACGGAAAAACATCATCGGCGAAAAGTAATAGTGGGCGAAATCCAAAGTTGACTGACAGGGACCGACGAACATTAAAACGGATTGTGACAAGACAACATAAAACTACCGCGGCTAAAGTTACAGCAGAACTTAACGCTCATTTGGATAATACTGAATCTATTCCGCGAAGGATTGAAGCGGTTTTAAAAGCAAATGGATTTAAATGAATTAATAAGCAACATCTTATTAATAAATAAATATTGAGTATATGTCAGGTGTTCATATTATTTTGTCCACCCCCTGTATATAATTAAAACTTAATTTAAAATAGTCAGTTGAAGCAAAATTAGGCGTATGAATTTGTTTTATCCCACTAATAAAATATTATCATTTATAATTAAGTTAATTCTAAAAATATCATTTTTGTTACTTAAACTACATAATATTTGTGATTAAATGATGTTTATTTTATATTTTTAACTCGATTATGTCGTAAGTTATGAATATTCAAATCTTAATGTTCCCGTTTTTCAACTATTACACCCTACTTAATAGTACGCTACCCACAAAACTATAATCTATATTTTATTACATCAGTGCTTATTTCAATAAGTATTACTTAAACTTACATAAATAAATTTTTCAAAGCTAATTTATATTAATTTGAAAAACTTCCAAACATCAATATTTTGTTTTAAACTGCTGAAATTTACTATGTATTTACATAAATTTACTTGGAAGCTTTATAAAATTTAATAATGGAATAATATATTTACTATAAATCGAGGCCTTCAGTTCTGAATTAATCTGATACCTGTATATTAATAATAACTAATAAAATCTCAAAATCTAAAACCAAAAAATACTAAAAATTTCAAAGCCATTATTGTAAAAACCGAATTAATTAAACTAATACCCACAGAAAACAAATTGACTGTATGGCACTACTTCAAAGTATAGTATTTCATGGTAATAAGTAAAAAATGTATTTTACAAATATTAAGGTTTAATTAAATTGGATAATATTCAAATTTCTTTATTTTTTAATTTTTTCAATGAAAAAAAATTAAATCATAAGTCTTTATTTATCTTCAGTGATTAGCTGCAACCCCCATAAAATATTAATAATTCGTATTATGCTTATTCGCACATTTATATTCTAAAAATAATATAACATAATTAAACAGGTGAATTGCGTTTAACTTAGCGCTGATACTGAAATAGAAATAGTCATTAGCTTTTAAACATTAGAGCTAATATGCTTACTGGTTTTGAAGATTTAATTTGTTTTCCAATACTGCTTTCTATGTAAGATTTTTCTTCTTCGGTAATTGTTGGATGTACAGCAGGAGATTCATATACAAAATATGTCCAACAAATGTACCAAAGTAAGCCAATAGCTCCAGTTAAATAAAATACAATTTCCCAATTATATAAATCAATGAGATATCCGCACGTCATGTAAATTACGGCTGTACCAACCGAATTTCCTACATATATAATTAGTAAATACAATTTTGTTTATTTATAGTTCATGTTTTAAAAATGCTTGATGTATTCTATCAAAGACATTAATGACTGTTTATTATATTTAACGATTTCTAGCTAATGACAGTTAAAGGTAAAATACTTAAACACTTAAATTTTGCATATTTTTTTACCTATATAAGCTGAAACAAACCAACTTCGTTCATGTTTTGGTATCCATTTAGCTGTCATCGTATGCATCGCAGGCCATGTACTTCCCTAAGTCATAAAGCGAATACTATTTTCAAATATTGAAGTATTCCTAATTATCAAATGATGAACACTCTGATACATACCGCTATAAACCCTTGAATCAATCTTATGCCAGTTAATGCTTTGTAACTAATTTTTGCGGAAGCTGGTATTGCAAAAGACAATATTGCTGCGAGGCCGTTACATAATCCAAAAACGTATTTTCCTCCATAGTGCTGTGCTAAGATTCCTCCGGGTATTGGCATTATCATGTGCAACATAAAAAAAGCACCGAGAACGATACTTTGTTGATGTTCGTCCCATTCGAACTTGTCATCCTATTAAAACAAATTAAATAATTTGTTTCATTAAACAAAACACGATTAAACTTATTATTATATGTCTTCAGTTATATAATATTTTTTGAAACATTGATTTTATAATGTACTAACATCATTACTTTTCGTTGGTAGAATTACTTGAGAATTATTGTTGTTTGATTCGATGATTGTATTATGTTGAAAACATTCACTTATAAGAGTAACATTGGAAGCTTTGACTGGGTGCTTAATCATTGAAACGATGGCTATATTTATATTCATTCGATAAACGGAATTTAGAGCAAAGCCCCAAAAAGTCATGTACCATAAAACAGTTCTCTCTACAACGAGTTAAATATTATAGCAAATATTTTTACTGTTATTTAGCTTAGTATCACTTACTCTCCATGTATTATTCACAATTATTCTAACGTTTAGAAATAAATGTTACCTAAAAACACATGTAAGACAAAAATGAGTAGATAAAGAACTGTTTAAATAGTCAATTGCAATTTTTTATCATAAAATTATATTCAATAATTATGACGTATATATAGTGTTTTCAATATATATACAATGGTATATTAAACTTTAATTATATAACAAAGTATGTTAATAAATCATTTTGTAAATAATGCATTATAAAATAAAATATAATAAACAATAATTAATTTACATTTTTTGTGGGTAAAAATTGTAGCAATTACCTTTTTTTATCATTCATTACAGCCCGACCCATCTTAAATTTCAAATAATTGTTAATGTGTTTTTTGCAAAAAAAAATTATTTATGAGATATTCAACAATTTGCAATTACAAAAATTGTTTTATTACTCTCCAACTTTTATTTTTTAATTTCGACGCGAAGCTGAAAAGATATTTGTAGCACTAAAACATGATTTTCACTATAAATAATTATTTCATGTAGTTAGTTGATGTATTAAGTACAAAATTGAAACTATTATAACAGTTGTACCCGTGTAATTATACGCAAAGTTCATTCATGTTTTTTAAACTCCACTCTCACAGAAAATAAACTATTCTATAGGTCAGTTGTAAAAAGACTGTAAATATTAATCCAATTAAATTTAAGTACACATTAGTACTCAATATCAAACTTATAAGTGTTTGTATTGTACTTTGTAATAGTATATGACCATCTTATCAGTGGTCAAGATCATTTGGCCTTTATATTCAAGAACAATATTTCATTAATGTCAGATTAAATTTTACAGATTTAACTTTATTGCTTCATCTATAATTACTTTTATTTGTGTTGTAAAATTTAAAAAATATATAATTTATTCACTTAAAGATTGCTACAATTTAATTTAAAAAAATACTTAAACTTAATTATAATTTAGTCAATTTTGTGACCGTTATCCAAGTGATAATTTTTTTAAGTTTAGAAACTCTTAAAATAAATAAAAATATTTGATTTATATGTTTTAACTATCATAAAATATTGATATATTGTATTCTAACATTTATTGAAAAGATTTTTACACTTTGAAGTATATAAAATATAAAATTGATACTGTGAACCTTGATTACTTATCATTTATTAAAAAACTAAAAGATACCAAAACTAATTATCAAAATATCATTGATTTTATTTCTAAGTATCGAGGAACAAAAACATATACATTAGAGAAAATTTATATATATATACAGAGTGATTCATTAAGGGATATTAAAGATACTCATTTTCTCGGATACAATTAAAATTTTAAAATTTTTGTTATGAAAAAATTTGTTTGATTTAAAGAATTCTACAATACGTAGTTAAATCATTTTATTTTTTCACCATTTCAGGTTTAATAACCTTAACATTATTTTTTTTTTTTTATGAGAATGAACCCCTATTTTACCTAGATAATTTGGAAAAATGTACAGTCTTATTCTTATGATTTTTTTTTTATCTGATCAGTCGTCTGTTTCAGCGTGTTAGAGTTTAGTTTTTTTAAACCAAATTTCTATCATTATTCTACTGTTTTGTAGACAAAATGATAAAAGTCATTAATATCTAGTAATAGACGCATACAAGTTTACATTATTGAATGATCAAAGTGAAAAAAATTTTTGATAACTACTATAAAAATATTTTATGGCCCATTGAAACAAATCAATGTTCACTCCAGTAATAATTAGTAATAATAATTATAAAATAGTAATGAATTTCTATTTTGAATCCAATCTTTAAACAATTTAAAAAGATGAACAAAATTTTAAAAATTACAAAAACAAAATTGTTTGTAAAATTTTTTTATCATATTATCAAGATAAAAAAAGGAATTATCATTTAAGAAAATTTATGTTAAGGTTTCGCACTCCTAAAGGTATGAAAAAAAATTATTTAACTACATATTATTGTACAACTTTTTGAATCAAACAATATATTTCTTTAGAAAAATTTTTAATTTTCAATGGATTCTGTGAAAATTAAAGTCATATTCTTAATCTTTCACTCTGTATATAACCTTCTTTTTACTATCAATTGTTATCATAAGAACATAAGTAGGTTATATGGTACCAACACTACAAAATAAATATAATAGGTCATATAATAAATTATATGACCTATTATATTATTATATCATTATTATAAATATAATTAGTCACTTCATTACGGCAATAATGGTATGTTGCTCATATCGAAATACTTAACAAATAAAACAGTAGCTTAAAAAGTTCTATTCTATTAATATTTTACTTTTCCTATAAGAATAATTACTTTTATATACAAGATATTTTTTAAGATTTGGTTATAAATTTAACTAAATTAAAAAAATGATTAAAAATATACAGACTGGTCCACGATGTTTTGACATATCTAATAATTTTTGATCTACAAAATATGTTATATAACTTAATAATCATCAAAATTTACTAAAAACATTAATATTTGATTTTGTTACCAAATTTTTTCTTAAAATCTACTCTACAAAAAGGTTTTCTTGAATTTTTTTTTACATATTTCGTAAATTAAAAGAAAAAAATCCAGCTCAGGGGGGTCGCGGCACAGTGGTGACGTGGCATAGTTGGATCAAGTATAATGATACCTGACAGTGATTAAAATCACTATCAAAATAAAACGCTTCGATGAAAATCTTTAGATAGTGTTTAATTTTAGTAATAAAGTAAATTACATTAGCTTTAATTTAAGATATATATAAAAGTGTCAGACCTTCTGGAACATTTTCAAAAGTTAAGTTGAAAAAGATAATTTTTTGTGAAAAAGTTGTCATTTTAAATCCCCCCCTGTGGGCAGATAAAGGATCAAATTTACAAAAAAAAATATACCAAATGATAAGTAAAGACATCAAGCATCTATAAAAAAAAAATTATATTGATATGTTCATTTTTGAAAAAGTTACGGCAGTTTTTAGTAAAAAAAATTGGAAAAATTTCGAAAATTAGCGATTTTTAAAATTGTAATTTTTTTAGAGGTTTCCCCCATTTACAGGGAACGAGGGAAAATTTTTAATTTTTAAGGGTAATGTCTTCGACTAGATACGATTTGTGATCTAATCGATTTGTGTATAATTAAAATATTAAAGTGTCAATTAAGTATCCTAACCCTAAAAGTATAATAATAATTAAATATTAGTAATGCAAAATATGTAGTAGATCAAAAATGATTAAATATATCAAAACATCGTAGACCACATTTTAGAGATTTGTGGAGAATAAATTTAATTTTCATCTCTTGAAAAATAAGTCATGCACGCACAATATTTGTTTATGTTGTGAATCAAACCACATTTGTGTAATATTTAATATTTAATTATTAAATATAATTATAGGTACAAATTTAATCCATAAAAACAAGTTTAGTTGTTAATATGATTTATAAAACTAATTGTAGCGAAGAGTTTAAATGTTAAAATTTTATATCCAATAACGTAACAGATTGCGACTATCATTTATATTACAAACTATAGTTTCTTATTAATAAATAAATTAAAACTATAAAAATTAATATATATTGAAAATTAAATTATAAGATATATATATTTTTTATTTGGAGTCGAACAATCTGTAATAAGTTTAATTACAATAAACACAAATCATGTTTATGTTAAGCAAATATAAAAAGCAATATACTGTATATATATATATATATATATATAGAGAGAGAGAGAGAGAGAGAGAGAGAGAGAGAGACAGTAGGCTTGATAGAAGAGGCCAACCAGTACTGGTACTTCATGACGTGTGAAAATTTGGATAGTCAATTAATAGATCGCGTCACTAAGTTCTCTTAAGACGCCTTCTAGGGTCATCAAGGATAAAGTTAACGGATACATCAGAAGGTATTGATGGTTTAATGTTTTGAAGTCTAAAGGTTTGTAGAATGTTTTAGCAATATTTTGGATTGTTAGGATGGAGGGATCATTGTGGAGGGTACATTGGAGATGTAAAATGAGGCTTTTGTTATTTGTCGGAGACATTTGTTTTGGAAGGTTTGTATTTTATTGATGTTGAATGATATGGTGGGTCCCAAAAGCTGGATGTCATATGTCCATATTGGTTCAATAAGTAAATTGTATATAAGAAGTTTATTTTTGAGATTGATGTATTGTGATGTGAAAACGATAAGATATATTAAATTATAAATATATACATTATATATAAAGTACTGGACGTTGATGAATTTCGCTACTCGTTAAGTCCTAAATAACTTAATCATATTATGATAGACTATAATTATTTAATCAATATAATATTATAATTAAGTGTGACTTAGGTATCAAAAACTTAAAAACCAATATTATTAGAATTATAGGTTAGCTTATACAGAAAGTTACTTGATTTAGGGGAAAGCAACTAGGTTAGGTATAGAAGCAAAAATAGAGTATGAAGTATCGTTAACAAATATCTTTTAATATGCAATAATCTCAAATTTTTTATTTTTACCTTGGAGTTAATTATAATTGATATTCATCTGTAATAAGTTAATACAATATTTTTAAAAATTAAAAATTATTCACTTTGCCTGAGTACGCTTTCAATTAATTCTAACAAATTTATCTTATTTGAATCTTAAAATCTAGTAAACATCCCTCTTTTATCTTTTATACGCAAGACAGCTCACTTTCTTAATCTCAATTAAATGAGTTGTTAATTGAAAAATAAATTCATAAAAATGTATTCTATTAAGTATTTTAGAAAAAACAATTATTTTTCTCACCATGAACATTTTTACTAAATTATTAAATTATAGAGAATTGATGACTATCCACATGGCCATTAACTCTTTGGAAGCCTGATGTACATATTGATTTCAGCTTAATTTTAGTATGTTTACAAAATTAATTTATGACATTTAGATTTTGAGTTATTAACATTATAACTTTGCTCGGACTTCCCCAATTTATCATAAATAATTCAATCATTAACATATTTATTTATTTTAATTCTAAAATTCAATTCAGCTTTATCATTGTCAATGCCATAATTTAATTTATATCTGGCTTAGACAAAATTTTGGGGGATAATCGTTTCCGCCAAACCTGTATAAGGTCGTTTTTTCGTTTCCGTCAAACTGATCTTCTACCTATCTACTAAAAAATTTGAGAACCATTTAGCTTTATCCATGGTAGGCAGCTTCTCGTACTAAAATGTTCGGCATTTATTAGTTATAGAATTCAATGTTACGTTCAGGTCTGTATTTATAATTTTTGCGTGGGGTATTAATATTAATGAGCAAAATAAAGTAATTTTTTACAATATTTTTTCCCATCGCCATCAATTGACATTTGCCCTCCTTAACCACTCCCTAAATACAGTCACATTGTTTTAGATAATTACTTATTTTATCACATAAGTACACTTTTATAAACAAAATATGGCGTTTTACCAAAAGGTAAATAAATTATAATAGATAACTGTCTTAAGTATGTATTTATATTTTTGTAATAAATAATAAAAATATAGTTTATAAGAATATATAGTCATCAAAACATTGAAATAAAATTCAAATATTTATTATAAGCTTAAAAAATATCTAATATATGTAATAATATAATAAAAAATAGATCTATGATCTATACGTTTTTCGGTAGTTGTTGGAAACTAATTTGACAAAATCATGTCTGCTAATTTCATTTTTATTAAACTTATCAATTGCCTCTTTTGTTTTATTGAAACGGATTTCAATTTTATTCCGTACGCTTATTGAGATTGCGTTATTAGATCTATATATTTTAATGTAATTATAAGATTGAACGTTTTCTATTAAAATTTTTAAAAATATATTAATAGAAGGACGTGTCTTATAAAATTTTTCATTAAAATGTGAATGGAATGATTCACAATTATTTGTTGTCCGGGCCAATAAGGGGTCCATCAATGCCCAAATTTTTGAAGGATATTTGCTTTTCTCAGAAATATAATTGTCGATTAAGTAATCAGCATACTCAATAAAAGCTGTTCCCTCAGATATTGATGTCATGAAGTCATCAACGAAATTTTCTGGATTTAAAAAAGTTAATCCGAAGGTACCTTTTAACTATTCATTGTGAATATATGTTTTATAAGCATTATTCAAACCTAACTCTTGAAGTTTTCTGTACCAAATCTGGGTTAAGTCAAATCTACAACCAATTATAGTAACTAATGGCCACACAATTAGAGCAGCTTTGTGAATAGAAACTTCGAAATCGGCAATTATATTTTCAGGATACAGTAATAAATTTTTTTCACTACATTTATATTTTATAACCCCAAAAGCTTCTTTACAAGTCTCTATAAATTAATTTTTTTTTTTTTTGCACCTCAACATATTATCCAAGTGGTGCGACACCTGGAAAATAAAAATCAACGAACTAAAATCTACCCACATCACCTTCACCCTTCGTCAAAATGTCTGTCCTAACATAATTCTCAACAACACTATTATTCCACAAGCAAGGGAAGCGAAATACCTGGGCTTGCTATTCGACAGAACGATCACATGGGGTCCTTATCTTAAAAGTAAACGGAAACAGCTGTTTCCGTTTACTTTTAAATACTCGTCTTCATCTAATAAGACCGCTCATCCAACACAATCAGCACATATCCTATCGTCTACTTCTTTACAAATTCCTCCTCCAACCAATATGGTCATTCGGTATCGCGCTCTGGGGTGTTGCAAAGCCGTCTAATATAAGGACAATACAGGCGTTCCAGTCTATTTGTCTCCGTATGATAACCAAAGCACCGTACCACGTCACCAACAACTCCCTCCACGAAGACCTCAAAATAGCAACAGTTAAAAAAACTGCACACATATACTACAAAAGACTACATTCCAAAATGCAATCCCATCCAAACCGTCTCGTTACTCAGCTACATTCAACAATTCTCTTCCGGGCAATCCAAACAGGCGCCTCAAACGCAACTGGTCAAGAGACCTTCTCAATATTATTTAACCCACTTAAAATTAATAATACACAGGTGGCTCTAATGTGAGCTTCCTCCTCACCGCCATATCATTGTCTATTTTATTCCTATTCACATATTTACTTATTGTACATATAGNCACATATTTACTTATTATACATATTGTAAATTTTCTAATAAACGTTCTTAAAAAAAAAAAAAATTATTTTTTAATAAACAAAAAACAAGTGGTACATAGTAATTGTTTAATATCCGTGTATAGTAAATAATTGTACAAAATGTTATGGACAATACTGAAAAGTTCCGTCTACATAATATGTATCAATATATTATATTGATTTGGAATTGCAAAGAAATTTGAGGTATGTATCACAAGAAAAAATAATAATATTTTTCTCATGATCGCTGTGTAATAAAAACTGTTCTCCGCGCGTAGTTAATATTTTTATATTATCAATAATTGCATGTAATTCATTTATAGATTCTGGATTAGTAGGAAAAACAGTCGTCTAGTGCGATAAATAGTTTGGCGAATACATGACACATCCGTTGTCGTAAAATTATTATTACTTAATGTTTGAATTTCCCCTAAAATTATTTTTTGCGGTCTTTGGCAAATATCGTCTACGGCTTTGCGTTTACAAGCGCCTGCTAATTTTGTCTCATAATTAAGGGATCAGAACAAGGGCCATTACATGTATGTTCTATAAGAATATTAAAACTAATTTAAAATAAGGTCAGCTTTAATAAATTGAACTAAATATTTTAAAAATACCTGTTTTATCAAGCTCATTCACGTAAATGGTACCTTTGCATTCTTTTACAAAACAACGCCAACGTATGTTACCCGTTTGTATTGCTTTATATCCAAAACGAAACTTAAAATTATTCAATAAAATCATTTGTTGGCCCCGCTTACTTCTGATATATTCAAATGACATTTTAATTAAAAAAGTAAAATAAAAAAGAACGGATGGCAAAATATTTATCGATATACCGATCAATACATTGCTATCTAACTAACAATAATAGAATAGGAAAATGTTCGATTAAATAAAAAGTAGATAATTATTATCGGGTTATTTTGGCAAATATTTTAACTAGTGGTTCTCAAGCTTCTATTTGTAGACAGGTATAAACTATTTGTTTGGCGGAAACGAAAAACCGACCTAATTCAGATTTGGCGGAAACGATACGGTCAATTTTGGCGGAAATGATAATCTTTTATTATCGTTAAATTTACGTTTCCGATTGATTTTCTACCTGACATTCTATTAAAAAATTGAGAACTATTTAACTTTATCCATAGGTCACTACGAAGCAGTGACAGTTTTAGCAACTGCCCGTGCCAAAATTTTTGGCATTTATTTTTGTCCCCATTAATCATGCCCTAAATACGGCCCTGGTGACGTCATTTTGAATAATTTTTTTATTATTTTGGCAAATATATTAACTAGCGGTTTTCAAATTTCTATTTGTAGACAGATATAAACTATCACTCAGCAAAAAAGTGAACGCCCAAAATTTTAAACGGCTATTTTATAATATTTTGGTAAAAAAAATATCCAATTTTCTAAGCTACTAAAAATCCTTGCTGCCTTTTAAAAAATCATTTTGAAAATGAACATTTGAACATTAAACCAGGGACGTTAACTTCTCCGGTCTAAAATATCTTATAAGTAATATTTGTGACTTTCAAAATTATATTTTCTGTAAAAGAAGAACGTTTAATTCCATTTTTTTTTTTTAGGAAAACATGAGTAGAAACAATAAAGTATAGACTCTCTTTATCACTGTACCGCAAAAAAGCCACATATTAAAAAAATATAACAACATAGATTATTAAACACGAATTTCTACATTTTCTATAAATTTATGTAATATTTAGCTTTTACCAAAAGCCTTGCTTACAAATTTCTAAGATACTTAAAATATTCGTATTAATTGAATTATGAAAATATTTAAAACTCTATTAAAAATATGCAACATTTTATGTGCTTATCATACTCTATTATAAAAAGTAGTTAATATAGCTATGTATTAATCAAAATTGTAAAAAAAACTTTATATCATAGGTTTAATTTCTTGTTTGTTTGTTTTGTTATTCCATGATTGCATTTCAGACTTTCCAAATAACACGTATATTAAGCCGGTTATCCAGCAAAATGCTGCCGATAACATAAAAACTTGTTGCCATTGTTCAATAGTCTGCTATAAAAATGTAAAACATTCTAATTATTAGATTATAGTAAAAAAAAATATACTTTAACTTAAAAATGGGGAATTTTTTTACGTTTTATTAAAATAAATTGACGAAGTTCAACATATCATAAAACAGAGTTAAATTCTGTAGTTTGTTATGAAATATATATATATATATATATTAAATATGTTTTACGCAATATCTCTAAAGACTTAAAAGATAACAAATTTTTAGTTTTTAGTATTAAATTAATTAATTCTTTTATCTTTCAATTAAAACTGGAGATTATAATAACTTGTCATTTTAATGAAATCGAGAAATGCGTTATGCATTTATCTAGTAATACCTTGTTAGTATAAATAAGTATACATATATTATAAAATCATATCTGATAAAAATATCAAATTTCATTTGACGACAAAGAAAATTTTAAATAAAATGTGATTAGCAGGCCTATATTAATAATTAAAAAAAGAAATAATTAAATACATTTTAATGACTCTTTTATAAAAAAAGTAAATCATTTTATGAATGGAATATTTGCTTTCGGTCAAAATATTTCCGCACTATTTCTTCTAAACCACCAATATTAGTGAATAAATCTATTTAGCTCTTAAATTTGATTTATACATCACGCATATAATTAATTTTTATTAAGAAAACATTCAACTTTTCATGAAATAACAATTTATTCATTAAAATTATTCCACTTAATTGCATAAAACTTAAACTTATAAGATTTAGTAAAAATTATTAAATCAAATAAAAATAATAATTTTTTTGAAAATTTTGAAAGGTAGCAAAAAAGTCAAGTGGGATTTTAAAATTCTGTTTATGGGCTTAGTTTGAATAATTCGTCTGGAGAGGCCGTTGCATAATTTTAGATAATGGACCCGGCGGGAAGCTTATTTACCTCATTAATTTATCTCTCCCTCTCTCTAAAAACTTCAATTAATTTATGAGAGATATGACTGGTTTATTATGTTTCTATTCTTAGTCTAGTTATGGGGGCTCCACAGCCTCTATGTAAACTATGCAACTGATTATAAAAATAATACAACATAAAAATGGTTTTTTGAGATTTTTTTGTAATTTATATACAAAATAAATGTTTTGTCATATGAAAAAGAACACGAATCAAATTTGAATGTGTTAAAACTTTCATAGATTGTCTTGTTTCTTGAAGTGCTTGAGAATATATCCATATTTACAGTTGAGTCCGAAACGTCAGAACTCAACTGTAAACATGGATATATCCTCAAGCACTTCAAGCAACGAATCAAATTTATCAAGAATGTTTGTTTCCTGTGCTACAAAATTGTAAATTTGCGTAAGTCACTATCAAAAAATTTTTTTATAATAAACCCATTAACTTTTGGCAAAAAGCTACCGAATTATTGTTATACAATTATATAAAAAATTAAGTAAAGAAAAAATTGATTACACTGATAGTAAACAAGAGCCTGGAATACCACTATCTTATTAATCACCTAAGCTAAATTTTAACCACTTAGTTTCTTAAAAACTATTACTTAAAACTAATTATTAACCAGTTAAATTTTTTAGGCGATAATTTTTTTCCTTGCCTTATTCCCAACTAAGGAACCACCCTTATCCTGAACTTTCATTTGACACGATCTTCTACATCATCTACGCACATATCAGTCGTCCTCATTTCGCATTCAATAACATCCCTCCATCTATTTTTTTGTCTTCCTCTAACTCTTCATCCTTCAATATTCATTTCCATAACTGTTCTTATTGCTTCCGATTCGTCTCTCCTCATAACATGACCAAACCATCTAAGTCTATTTTCTCCCATCATATCTACGATTGACGTTACACCTCTACTCCTTCTTATATGTTCGTTCTTTATCCTATCTTCTCTAGTTAGTCCACTTATCCATCTAAGCATTCTCATCTCTATTACAGTCATTCAAATATCTGCTCAATTCTCTTGTCAACTACCCAATACTCTGAACCATCCATCGTAGCTGGTCTCACTACAATCTTATAGGATTTACCTAACTCATTGAAATTCTCATATCGCATAACACACCAGACGGTTCTCTCCATTTCAACTACTCGCATTTAATCCTGTATCTTACATCCTCGTCAATACCATCACTCTTTTGCACAACTGTATCTAAAAACTTAAAACTTTCCATTTCCCCTATCACGTTTTCGTCTATTGTCACTGAACTTCTCATTTCACCTACCTCGTGTTTTCCTTTGTCAAACTCGTACTCTATATACTCTGTCTTACTCCTTCTTACCCTTAAACCTATTTCTTCAAGAGCTAATCTCCACACATCTAGCCTTTGATAAATTTCCTCCCAATTTTCTCCTACCAACACTATATCGTCGGCGAACAACATGCATCACAGTAACTCTCCTTGTATTTCTCTAATTATTTTTTCTATCACTATAAAAAATAATTAAGGGCTTAAAGCAGAATCTTAGTATTCTTCTACACTTACCCTAAAATATTAATTTAATTAATAAAATTACATTCAAAATCCCATTTAATTTTCTTAAGCTCCACTCAAAATTAATAAAAAAATAATATTTTATAATAAACGTAATATTTGTAATAAAAATTAATAAATCTTTATATATTATATTTTAATAAAAAAATTATTGTCTAAGTAAATAAAAAAAGTAGTGTTCTTCATTATATTACTATTAGAGAGTTTTATAAAATTTTAACCCTTAAACAGTCGCGTGGGGGTCTAGCATACCCCCACATAAATAAAAACGGATGTATTATATTGCATAAAAGATGTACATAGATATAAATTTAGAAGATGGTTTTTATAGTAATATTGAATCAATTTTCATAAATAAATACCTTCAAAAAAAAAAAATGTATGACTTAAAATATTCATCAAAATTGAAATGTGTCATATTTACCTCCACGCGACTCGTAACGTTATAGTTTTTTTTGGACTTGTATTTTTTTCAAAATATCGTTTTATCGTAAATGCAATGTTATAATCGATATAATATTATGGAATTGGAATTATGTGGATCTACCACCGACTATGCAATTAAGTTTTAAAAATAAATAATCTATTGAGAATTTCCACTAATCGATGATACGGAACAAATAAAAACAAAAGATGTAATAAATACATCGCGTATATTAAACAGTATGCAAAGATTTTTCGGAGAAAAATTAATATTCAATAGATTCATTTATTTTTTAATTTTTATTATTGAATTTTTATCTATATTTATATATCATATGGTAACAAATAATGTCTTTGAATTTAAAAAAATTAAGATTTTTATACATGTTTTATACTTTTTTAGAAATGGAGTCTGATTGACCTCCACGCGACTATGAACGTTTAAAATAGACATGCGCCTGCTAAAGGGTTAATAAAACTGTCTAGTAAATAATTTATTAATTAATTAGTTTTCTGCAATAGTATAATACATACTCGTTGGTATGTCAATAGTCCTACAATAATTGGAGAAATACTTGTGATGCCCATACTGACTATTCCAACTAAACCTTGTAGAATACCAGCATAATTGGGAGCTAAGTCCACTATACCGGCAAATTGTCCCGAAGAAGCTGCACCCACCATCGCCACAGCTAAGACTAAATTCACTATAGCTAATACATGATTGCAACCTGAATAAGCTAGGCCCAAAATAAATAGACCTTGTGCTAAATTACACAACATGCAAGCTAATTTTCGAACATTTGTTGTAGAAAGCACTTTATTTTTTATTAAATAATCACACACAAAACCACAAACTAAGGAAAACAACCAAGAAAACAAATGCGGAACTCCAGTCCAAATGCCAACCTACAAAATTCCAATAAATATAATTTAAATGAGGATTATTGTGTTTTAATAATAGATAATAGACTTACTTGTTTTAGATTTAAACCTAATACAAAACTAAAGTACGACGGTGCTTGAATTGATAAAGTATACATTCCCCAGGATACTCCAATTTGAGATATAATATTAACTATCAATGGCACAGAAAATACTATTGATTTCCAAGGTGTTGGATGCTAAACGAAAGTGTAATTAATGACACACAGAAAGTTTAATACAATATAATGCACTATGAATGCAAGTAAACAATTATAACGTCTTTTATAACATCAATTATAAAATCTCCCACAACACCAATGTAAATAATGAAAATGTCATTGTTTTAAACACTGTGGTGTTTATATGTAACAAGCCTGATATAAATACTAAAAACAAAGTAATACCCAACGTAACTCTTATGAAAGGTCGAAACTTTGAAATGACTTTTCGAGATTGCAGTCTTGCACTAACAGTGCGATGATAATTTTATAGTTTTACTAACTATTTGAGTTTTCCCTGAAGATCTTCCCAAACTTTTTTCAATATATAAACGTTCTTCTTTTCCAATGGAAGGATGTTCACCTGGTGAATCGTGTACTAACAAAGTCCAAAATAAGAACCATAATATGCCAAGTGCGCCTGTTATATAAAATATCATTTCCCATCCCAAGAAACTTGAAATATAACCGCAAGTTACATAAGTCATGGCAGTTCCAAAAGAACAACCTTAAAAATAAATATTTTCAATCAAAATAATAGTCAATATTTACAAATCTATATTTAAAAAAAAATAATAATAAATAGAGATGAAATGTAAATGAATAATAGGAATTTCCATAATTGTATAATTATTTAAAAAGAAAAAATTATTATTTTTTTTTGTCTATCAGAAATTTCTAGTAATTGTGGTGACTACTTTAAATAATTTGATTTAACAGCTAAATCATTATTAAAAATATTATTGATATTTTAAGTAATTTCTTTATATTTTATATTTTATGTATAAACTTTAAATTTTACATACAAAACATCATAGTGTGTCATGGAAATTTTATGACACACTTAAGTATTAAGTCCTTTATTATAAGCTATTGCTATCAGTATCTTATTAGCTTATATTGCTACACACCTATCGTCTTCGATATTTTTCAATATTGTGAACCCATAGTGAATGGGTTTTCAAAATTCCTCCACATCTTTTGGTGTAGAGGAGTGGTGGCATCACTGCTCTGCATTCTGTAAATTACCAAGAAGACATTCCTCTTCTAACTAATCACTAAATACTATTGGGAAGGGCCCAATGAAAATTATATACTAGGGAACCAAACATGAGTCAAGTCGACACAAATTACTTGTATTAGAGAGAATAAATTAAAAATATAATTTTTATATTAATTAAATGTTACTATTAAAACCTAAGAAGAATATTTATGAACATAAATACCTAAATATGCTGACATAAAGTGACTTCTTTCATTTGGTGGTATCCATTTACCAGTTAATGCATACATAGCTGGCCATGCAGCTCCAGCAACAAAACCCTGAATGATTCTTATAAGCACTAAAGCTCTATACTTAAAATAAGCAGATAATGGTATGAAACAAGTGAGAAAAGCAACAAAGCCATTTGAAAAACCATATATTGTTTTCGCACTATATTTTTGTGACAGTATACCTCCAGGAATTTGCATTATTATATGTAGCCAATAAAAAGCTCCTAAAACTATATTTTGTTGATTTTCATCCCATTCAAATGTATTCTCCTAATAAAAAATTAGTAATCTATTAAAGTTCAAGTAATATCTTAATAATTTAACAAATTTAGTCATAATTTTCGTTTTGTATCACAAAATAATTCTAAAATTTCACAATAATCTAATACAATATTATGAAAAAAAACATATCAAAAGTTTATTTTAAATCATAGACATAAATCATAAGGAGTGGTAGGGTATAACTCCCCAAAACTTGTCTTAGCCTATTAAAATTAAAAAAAAAAAATTAAGCCGCCCAAATTTTTTCAATAATTTACACCTATGTTTTAAATTTCTTTTAAAGAATATCTGAAAATTACTCAGTGTTCAAAATTTTGTTGTGTTTTTCAAATGTTTCAATAATTTTTTGCACAAAAATAATATTGTTTATATTATGATTTATAAACTTACTTTTTGAACCGAATTCATGTTAATTACTAAAAATGTTGAGTTTAAAAATTCATTATTAGGTACTTCTTTGCTAATGTAACATTGACTAAACTTAGTTAAATTCACATGTTTAGGTATTGTTTTAACCATAGATACTATTGCTATATTTAGGTTCATTCGGAGCATGTAGTTCATCGCGAACCCCCAAAAAGTCATATACCACAAAATTGTTCTTTCTAAAAATTGTAGTTAAAAAACTTTTAAGTTATAAAAGTTCTCGATCATTAAACAAATATATTATAAACAATATACTAACTCAACATTATTAGTGTCCAAAATACAAAGTGATCTGAAACAAGTCCAGTAACTAAAGTAATTAACAAAGAACATTTTTACTTAAGTTTAAAAATCAACTGCACTATATGTATAAATTTTAATTACGAATATTACAAAAAAAATATGTATTATTGAATTTAATAAATAAAAACATTGTTATGCATAATAGATAACAGATTTAAAGCCCTTATACGTTTTTCATAGTTATTTATCCCTTTTCAGTAATTTTTTATTATTTCATTATTCTTTAATAAGTTGATTACCAGATAAGTGAATTTTAAGATATTATTTCATAAAAATTTAGTTTTTTAATTGTTAATTTTGTACATGAAAATACCAAAAAAATCATTAAGATAATAGATGAGATAAGGTGGACTATCGATTCTATTATACAACAATTCGAAAAAATAAAACTTTGAATTTTGAACTCTATTCTATTATTGCTGCTTTTAATTTCTGCAACTACTGAAGTTCAGGTGCACAGCATACCTTTCGCAGATGCTCTAAAGGCCACTTTATGTTCATTTTTATAATAATAAATATTTAAAATAATTATAAAAAAACTTATCTAATTATGTACCTGTTTTAAAATAAAATTAATAACTTATGTTCTGTTTTCAAATTATATTGTCAATTACAATGGTGCTTCAGTATTAAGTGGTACTAATTTAGGAATAAAAAAAAGAATTTGTGATATAGTTCCCAGTGCTTCGTATGAATTTTACAACTCACTTTTTTTTTTTGAACTGTTAGGTTGGCTAATACCAATTGGATTATACCAATCCAGATATACCATCCTGTGGAAATTTTATTATATCTGATATTGTCTAAAGCTTATCAAAAGTATCCAACTTTTTTTAAATTCAAAATATATTTATTTTTTAAAATGTGTCCAGATTATTAATCTGGATTATTATCATTATCATTTAGTAATGATTTAATAAATAAAATACGAAAAAAAGTTTTAAATATTGTCTATAATACAAAATGCGAAGCTAGACATTCATCTGTCTGATTGTTGTAGGGAAACTATTCCAATGTATTAAAATCTTTGACTAATATTTTATAAACTAGCAACTAAAGTCTTAAATTAAACAGAACAAAATATCTTTAAAAAAAAATTGAATTTTTAAAGAATGTTTTGTATAGTATTACTTAGGAATATATTTAAAGCGCTTATTTGTGGTAAGTAAAATGTTACAGTTCTCATGAACCAGTATCCATCAAGCTCGTGCTTTTTTAAAAAGTATTAATAATTTAATTAAAAATTTAAGAATAATTATAAAGAATTGATAAAATTAGCAAATCAATTGGTCTAATTAAAATAAAATCGACTATATACGATTTGTGATCTTTTGACGTATCGTTGAAAGAAATTGGTTCGGTGAGAGCTGAGAAAAAGTGGTAACAGACACAAAAAAAAATTAAAAAAAAAAAATACATAATTGTAAAATTAATACCTTTTCAGCAACGCATCGAACTTAAAATGGTAACTAACTTATCAAGAAAATCACAGACACAAAATATGAAAGTAATATATAAATAGTATAAAATATCATAATGTATGTAAAAAATAGTTAGTGTTTTTCACAAAAATATACCTTTTACTATAATAATCACAATAAATAACTTAACATAATAAAAACTGTTGCATTTGATAATTAATATAATTTAAAAACAATTAATAAAATTCATGATGAAATATAAAATAAAAAAACTAATATTGAGAAAAATAGAATTAAATTCATTAGCACTAAATACTATAGCTTTTTAATAATTAAATTATCATCAATTTTAAATAACATTAACAATAATAATAATAATATAACAACACATTCAAAACACAAAATAATAGATTAAAACCCATAAATTATAACAATGTTCAGGTAAATTCAATTAACAAAAATGATAAACCAGGGATATATACATTACAACGTAAATGCAATAAAATTTACAATATAAATTTTACATTGTTACAACAAACAAATATTTTAAAACAATATTTAAAGAACATAAAACTAAAATAAAATAAAATAAATCAAACCCTAGCTCAAACTTTTCTTAATATAAAATTACACAAAATATAGATAAAGGACTTCATAATTAATTATAATTAGTACACTAATCAATAAATATTTAATTTCAGTTTAAGAAAGTTACCATATTCATTATGCAATAAAAAACAATAAAATTCATTAACAATTTAAACATTCAAACAGATAAAAAAAATAACTCATTATTTGAATTCTTATACTCTCTAAAAGATAATACCAATGGTAACATAAAAATAATAGTCAAAATCATTTTTTCACATGAAATAATAATAATTTTTTTACATATTTCTTAACATTTTATATCTGTGATTATTTTAATAAGTCATTTACCATTTTTTATTATATTGTAATATGATAATGAAGTAATGATTCGAAATTAGTAGTTATCAATATTTTTAACATATAATTTTTACGTTTGATTTATATTTATAATTTGGTTGGGTTTATGGTGATATTGATAGTAATAGGATATTGGATATTATAGAGGAAAGAGTTTAAGTTTCAATATTTAAATAATTAAATAAAGTGAACATAATAATATAATTTTATGATTTTATTCAATTTTTCAAAATTAACGTCATATTTGATTTAATTAGACGTTTTTAGTCTTCAAAAAAATTTATAAAAAATAGAAAAATATTGACAATTAAAGAATTATGTTTATGTATAAAAAAACGGTCTATCATCTTTATTGAACTATCTTAAAACAAATGTATTAATATATTAATCAAATAAAAAAAATTGATTTTTATAATAATAACTGTAGCAAAAATATTCAAAATTCATGTTTTGGTTATTAATCAAGACGTAAATAATGTTCTTAATAAAATATTATTGATTACATCATATTTCACGATTACTTGCTAATTATTTATTATAGGTATATAACTTAAAATAAGTGAATATAATAAGTGGATGCGACTTTAAATATAATACCACTAGTCATAGGTGTGAAAAATCTTCAAATTAATTATTATAAAATAAAACACAATACTCATATTATTATTATAAAGGTCGCAGTAGAAATGAAAATCATAATAATAGCGATTCTACTATTATAGCAACCGCTAACGACGAATAGTTCATTCTAAAAATAAATTACTCGATATAGTAATATACTAATATTTTATCGACGCTGTCCAAAACCGTTTATTAGATCGTAATTGAACTGCACCGACACACACACGATTGCAATGCCTCATTTATAATAAACGTTTCAGAATATTTCTCCGACGACGCTGTCGGTCGTCCAAACATTGATCGTGTGTGCATGTGTATCCACATATACAGATGGTAACAACTTAAATGTTCGCACACGACAAATGTATTATAACTATTGTACTATTTAAAACTTTGCATTTTTAATAAAAATATATAATTAAGAATATACAATTAATTTTCTTCTTTCAATTAATTTTAGTAGAGAGTGCGATCGTCTAGTCATCCAAACTACGAGTCGCTACTGTGAATAGGTAATTGAGTATGTTATGCTCAATCCTTCATCGAAGGAGTAATTTTAGCAAATGGCGGAAAAAATCCTAACCAAATTTTTTTTTCAAAAAAAGTTGAATTATGATATGTATAATGACATACTAAAAGTCCTCATTGATTGGAATTGAGCTTTTTTTTTACAGCCTTGCAAAAGTTCAAAAATATGAGCTTTTTTAATTTTTTCAAAAAATATTTAACTTACAAAAAAAAATTTCGTACAAAAGTTGTTTAAAAGACAATATTAAACAAAAAAGGTATCTTTTATTTTTTCATTTAAACAAATATTTTTCGAGTTACATTACATTTAATATGAGTACTAAAATTTATTTTCCATTTTTTCCATTTTACGGATACTTTTTATCATGTTATACTTATATTAGATACAATTTTATAAATGCGTATGTGTGTATGTGTGAGTTTATTTATTTATAGTATCAGTAAAGTGTAGTGTATATTAAGATACAACCGATAGAGTAGGTAATTGATTTGACGCTATATTGTTTAAACCCAACCAAACGCTAAATTGTACATTTCCAAACAACAATTATATTATATCAATTGCCACCGGAATTTCTGGTAATCTTCTTCTTTTTCTTCGCCTTAATCCCAACTNTGATAATGATAATTGTCATAAAGCGTATTGGCCTTTGTTCAGGTGCTGAAGCTGGTAAAAATTGTGGCTGCCGAAAAACAGGACTTAAATGTTTTATTATATGTGAACATTGCAAAGGTCAATGGCGTACAAATTCAATAAAAATAAAGATTGAAGATTAAGAAGATTGTACTTTTGTTGAAGATATAGTCTATTAAAATTTAGAATAAGAAAATGGAAAAAAATTTTGTTTGATACATTTGTCAAATAACTTTATAGAAGAGAAATCCTCCATCGATTACGTACTTAGCACTGGTAATCCATATAACTTGTAATTAGGATATAAATAAGGAAATAGGAGATGATATAGCTTTTATAATAATCCATTAATATTTTAAAATTAAACACTATCTACATATTTGCATCAAGGCGTTTTTTTATGATAATGATTTTAATCACTGTCACATATCATCTATACTGAACCAAATTATACCTACTGTGCCAAGACAATAGAAGTTATTGAAAATAGAGTTATAACTTCATTTGACCTTTTAAATTTTATATCATGAAAGTTATTATCCACCATTGAGTTTACTAGAACAAGACCAATTTTATACACTTTATGACAATTAATTTTATCATTACCAGAAATTACGGCTGGGTTGACAAATGAGAATATGAGAAGATCAGTGACAATAAGTGAGAACGTGATTGGGGAGATGGAAAGTTTTAAGTATTTAGGATTAGTTGTGCAAAAGAGCGATGGTGTTGACGAGAATGTAAATAGAGTATTCATGTATTCAATGTAAGTAGATCAGAGAATGAGTGTAGCAGAGATGAGAATGCTTAGATGGATGAGTGTAGTGACTAGAAAAG